ATTAAAAAAGGAATGTTCTATATTTCCTAGTAGTAAAACTAAATATTTGCAAAGAGCAAACTAATTTTTAAGGAACATGGGGTATGAGCAAATCTAGTAAGTATGATCAGTAAGATATTTGTTTGAATTCTTAATTTCTCAGCTTGCAAGCTTTATTTATTTATTTGCAAAATCTTTTCACCAAAATAGTCTAATTCTTTTAGCAACAAGAAGATCATAATGATGTATTAGTTTTTGAAGCATTCGATTAGTAATAATATAACAGAAAATATCAAGATGTAGATGATTGAATTTGTATAAAAAATTGTGTTTAAAGATTCTCCAATATTACTCAATAATCATTGTAATACAAATAATTAACCTATTTTTGTGAGCTGATAGTACCCAAAGGCACCAACAATTCTACTGGTACCATTTTAACCACAATTAACACTATACATAAAACAAGTTGTAGTGATAACAATATTGAAAATTTTCATTAACTGCTCGATACCAGATTTCATTTGAACTTGACATAATCTCTTTATCAGCAGTGGAAATAAGTATATGACAATAAAAATACATATTAACATATTCTAATATTTTTTTCGCAATGATGCCTCCAAAAAAACTTTTTTAGAGTCTAAATTATTACTTTGGGTTGGTTGCCAGATAGAATTAATTATAGAGCATTGTTAATATGTATTAATAGCATTATAGTTAGATAAAATATTATTAAGAGATATAACAAAAACCAGATGATTTTTTAGGGAAGAGGGGGTAAAAAAAGTTAAAATTATATATAAGAGCTAGTGCTCCTACAGACCAAACCTGAACCAGACTTTAGTTAAGTTTGAGTCTGGTTTGATTTTTAACTGGACTCAAACTTTTATAATCAAACTTTTTAGTTAAGTCTGAGTTCAGTCCGGGTTCGGTTCGAAGTTTGAAAATAGTTTGAGTCTGAATATACTTATGAGACTTAAAATTTTTTTTAGCCAGAGTAATGATGGTACCTAGGTTATCTGCAGATAATCAGATATCTGGGTTACAAACTCAGCTATTCAGATAAATATATCTGGGTAATATCCAGATAGACATATATTTATACCCAATATTTGAAATCATTAACCTATTGTTAAAATTCTGAACAAATCTATCAAAACTGTGAATACATCCACTTTTGAAATCAAAAATCTGCCTATTACTAAAATTTTAACGTATATATTACATTGATTAACATTGTTAAAATCATCAACACAACTATTATTAAAATCATGAACTAGCCATTATGAACTGTGAATATTTACTTTTGAGATTATTAGTTCGCCCACAATTCTGAAATCATGAATAGTACTCTGCAAAATCAAATTTTGATTTGATTTTGCAGAGTACTATATGAGACTATATATACATTTGATTCTATTAGATGATTGATCACTTCAATGTTATATAGTTTAAATTTCTACTAAACAACAAATGATTAGAGTTAAGTACAGTTAACTCTGATTATACTAAATCCCTGGTTTAAAAGTTCATCATGTCATAAACTAAACTTATTAACAAAATTGATAAATGTTTTAATGCTTTGTATTCTGTTTCACAGAATTATTTAATATTTGGTTGTCCAGCTTTAACTTAGTTAGAGAATATCTGTATACAACTAAGAATTATTTTGGAACCGAGATCGGACCAAGGTCAGAGTTAAAATACTAATAAACTGGTTTTATTAGAAACCAGAGCAGATTGAACTATGGGGATCCTAATAGTTCTACCAATTCAGATCCAGTTCACTTTTAATGGTTCAAAATTTTAAAGAATTAACTAGTTCGGGCTAGTCCTAGCTGGTCTGGTCTTAAAACTAAAAGCAGTTTTTAGGTTTAGCCTGGTTTTAAAGCTAACTGTAGTTTATCAGTGAACATATTACAATATAATATCTCTGTTGAACTGAGTTCATCTATCTCTAGATCGGTTTACAGAACTAAATAATACTACTCAAATCAATTGTCAATAGTAGTAAAGCATAACTTGTATATTTTAAATTTTAGGTATGATCTAAATTAATTACTAAAAAAAGTTAGCATAAATATTAATGTAAAAACTCAATAGCAATAGAATCTTGTATATACGTACGTATATAATATAAATGTAATTTTCTCAATTATATTCTGATTTTTTAGATCAACAACCTTTAAATCCATAAGGAATGCTTTCATGTTTGGCTAATTTTATTTGCTCTGGTTTGAATTGTTGCTTTAATAATTATGATTTGAGGATTAGTGAAGTGGTTAAATTTCCACAGCCAAATTAAAAAAATTGAAGTAGAACTTACTAATTTAGAAAAATAATGTCCTAGTAACTTCTATTTAGAGTAATATATACGTACCAGATTAATATAAGTTAAAAACTTGTAGATCTTTACAAAATAATTTTCACATAATATGATTATGCTGCTCAATTAGATTCAAGATTTTGCACACAGCCAGTTGCCTGTAAACTATATACTTCGTACTTTGTACTACATTTCTGGTATTCATTGTTTAAGTTATAATCTGACAAAAAATTTCAAAACAACCAAAATTGAATTTACTTATTATATTCAACTTTTTAAAACAGCGAAATATACATAACTTGATTAGCTCTAAACAGATCGTAGATATCGAATAAAAGAGTATACGTGAATTTGAGAAATCAAACATATGATTTTACAAGCATGAGAAAATTCAAACCGGACTCAAACTAGTTTGAAAATTCAGACCGAACCCAGACTGAACTTATAATTGAGTTTGAGTTCTGTTCAAAGTTTGAAATTAATAAAATTTCAAGTTTGAGTTCGGTTCGATCTCAGACTAGACCCAGACCGGACCAAACACGAACCAAATCTAGGAGCACTAATAAGAACCTGATTTTTTTTATATTAAGAGAGGAAGGAAGGTAAGCCTCTGATAAAAAATAATCAGATGATAAATGATACTGCCCTAAACTTTAAAGATAATTTTTGCTTAATCGCACATTTTAAGTGCTACTTGCAAAGTTGAATTTCTACATTCTTCCAAATGGCCATTCTACTACTAATCTGGACAAAATCCTTGTCAAAAAGAATTGTTTTTACTTCTTTAAGCCTACTTTCATGTAAAACTTTAAACTATGAGGTTATGACTACATAAATATTATGCTCTTTTCTAGATTCAATAAAACAATATGAAATAGAGAATCTAGTTCTATCTAATATTGCTATTATTAAATAAAGTTCATATTTTAATTGGTTGCTATTGTAGGTGGTATCAACCATAATTGTTTCATATGGTAGTTTATTAAAAAAAAAAACTTGTTAAAAAACCAAATATATGTGTTGATTGATTTAAATCAAGTACAGCTTTAAATCCTTTTTTATGTAAGAGCAATTTTGCTGATTGGTATTGATCTTCATATTGTCGATAATATTTTGATGCTTCATGTGCCTACCAGAAATAAACCTGATCAATTGTTAAGGTTTCAAATCTATCAAGTTTTTTTGATATAATTTTACAGTGTAACTCTGATACTCTAAATACTAAATTCTCATGTATATATTGTTTAACTTGTTCTGATACAGAAATATGCATTGGTTGTTGATGAAGATATTTGTGACTAAGTTTAATATTTGCATAATTATTTGCCAGATCAATTGCGATTGAAAGAAGATCTTCGCATGCACATTGAATTAAATATGATCCTGTATTTCGTTGTTTAGAAATATCACTGTTTTTGATGCTTTGAAATAAGTTCTTTATGACAATTGCACCAGTAATTTTTGTGAAGTAGTCTTGGTATGATATACATAATCATAACCATCCCCCTTTTCAACATAGTTAACAATCTTCTTGGCAAGGTAATGTTCATATTTATTTTGTTC